TGTTGTTGTTGTTGTGGCGGTGGTGGTGGTAGTAGTAGTAGTAGTAGTTGTTGTTGTAGGTAGGTAGTCGCAGCAGCAGTACAAGTAAGCAGCAGTACAACGAGCCCGTCCCCGAGGCTTCCTTCCTTATTTGCGGGGTTCGGCCGGGAAACGGGATAGCCTTGGAGAACTCCGCAATCGCTTACGCGGAATTGAAACCATAACGTGACCTCCTCCTTGATATCATGCATAAACTGCCCGGAAAGCCTCGACGGTCGCAAAGCCTCCCATGACAACGAGGGGCTTCCACTCGCCGTCCTCCGCGAGAGGACTTCTGGACAGGTCTTCGTCATCACTGGCGCGTTTGAGGCTTAATGAAGGGTGTTTACATAGAAGTCATTGCGCCACGGGTTCATGGCTTACTCCGGGGCTTAGCTGATCCGTAGCCAGACTGAAGAAGTTAAAGCAATGCGAGCCAGCCACTCGTCACTACCCCCAACAGACCCTTACCCAGCTTACGCAACGATTAATGACGAATGGCTCCGCAGCTGGTTGGGCCATGCAGCATGGGAACGTCCTAGTCCACAAAACTGACAACCCAGTCGCCCCGTTCATATCAAGGGCACCTTTTCGATTTGACCACGCGTGAGCGTCGGAAATCAGATTGCCCGGACGGCAGCAGAGCAGCGAGGAACTTGAGTGCTGGGTAGCCAAGTTCATGCCGGGAGACAGGCATCTGGCATGTCATGTTTGCTTTTTTGTTAATGTGCTCATTCCCTGACTGACACCTTTCCTCTCCAAACGACTCCTTAGGCACAGACCCATCACTCGTCGCGAGTTTCAAAGAAAAGAACATTATAAAAAAATACGTGCACCCCTCTGTAGTCGGCAATGACTGCCACCAAAAATGGTACCTAGTCCTGATGGCGAGGTCGCGACACAAGACTCACTTCATGCACTGCGGGCCCAAAAGCCATGTCCAGCACGGGCTCCAAGCGATTAATTCAAAAAGAGCTTCGAAGACTGGCGCACACACCTTGTTCAGTTGTGACGTGCCAGGCCATATGGAAAAAACACATGGCATACCGTCCTCAATAGAAGCATTGCCAAACGAATCGCGCCAACACGCTGTACAACGATTTGACTGAAGTGTCGATCCGTAGCATGTCTTGACTTGCCTGTGGGATCATGGTGAACCCATGTGAGGCTGTGGATTTGAATCCAGACGTTCCAATGCAACGGGAAAGATCCACTTGGATAAAACGCGAAATGCCGCACAGTCTACACGCGGCTCTCGGGTGCTTCATGTTGATCGCATGCCACGGCCATGTCCGTGGTCTGGCCAACAACGCACTTCGCTTCGCCGATCTGGCTGCATGGCTTGCCGATGACAGGCTCGGCTCCACCGGCAACCGACGTCTCGCGAAACCGCTGAAGCTGCCCCTCCTTGCGACAGTGGCGACAAGCAAGTGCAGAGAGGACCATACAGCCTCCAAGCACCACGGCCCCGACAAGCAGCAGCCAGAAACCGACCTCATCGTGGGCGGCTTCCATCCAAGGGACATCAACAACAGCAGGACAGCTGCTGGAGTCGAAATGCGTGCTCGCCTCGAACATGTTCAGCACCCCACTTGTTGCAACCAGCCTTAATGTCAAGTCCGCCTGCTCGGTCTCACCGCACGTGAGGAGTGCAAAGTGCCAGTCTCGAGCCGCCGACGTCTGATGGACGTGGATACCTTAGCTTCCGAACTGCCTGGACACCCCAGGAACCTTATGTGAACCCACTCCCACTTAACCAAAAGCTTGAAAAGTTGAACCTACTCCGGCACTAAGACACGGAAGTTGAAGCTTTTCTGGTCGTGAGTCTTTCCGAGCTGGCGCTTCATGTTGGCGCTGTTCAGCTTTTCCTCGCAGCTCATTTGGCCCCAAGCGTCCTTGACGACTCCCCAGCGATGCTCACGAGCGTCGAAGGCCGCGAGCATCACGGGCCCTGTCGCCCCCAGCGGCTGACTTCCTGCCCATTCCACATGGGCTCTGATCTCCGCCGCCTTCGACGTCCCAGAATCTGCCTGGCCGAAACAAAAACCCCCCAAGTGCCAAGCGCCGTCGGTCTTCAAGGTCATGGAGGCCTCTAGCTGTCCCGGAGTCGCCGAGAAAGTCTCCGCCACAACAAGTGCTGGCAAGGAGATCATGTTGAAGAGGCGGTGGAAAGCCATTTTGCGGCCGGTCCCTATGCAACGGTGGTCACCTTCACTTCAGAGCACAAATGCCTTTTGCCAAGCTCTGGCTCTGGGTGCTTCTACGGTCACTTATCTCTCCAGTTCCAGAAACACCACTCTTGTCATACGCCGGTTTGGACTAGGTAGTGGCTGTTGCTTTGGCCGTCGTCCTACACATCCGAACTCTTGCTCTTGGGTGCTCTAAGTGGATGAACATCCTTGGAGTCCCGCAGTCTGGCTTTCGGCAGAACGAAGCCCCAACAAACAGTTGGAATCTCCAAAAAAGTCCTTGGAATCTCCAAAGTCCCGAAGCCCCTGCGACCGGCCCAAGCGGACCTGCTTGTAGCGCAGGACCCCCACGTCCAGGGCCGACATCATTGGGGCGTGGTTAGCCAAGATGCCCAGCCTCGATCTATTTATTACTGAACCAGCTGCATGGTTGCGGTGAGTGCTGCTCTTGCTGATCGGCGAGAGTATATCTGAAAGTACTAGTAGCAGACGGCTTCTGTTCACTTTATCCTGGCAGCAGGCGAAATGAGATGATGCTGTAGCCCATAAGTCTGTGGAAACCAGCCCTATAATCATAATCTATATAACAGGTGACAAGAACTCCCGGGCGTAGTAACGAAGGGTTCATGCGGCTGCTTACCACCCGACCGGCCCAGGCATTTAGATTTTTTGGAATTGGGGTTCAGAATGATACATCGATTAATTTGCAACGTCAGAACCCTTGAACACACCTGCCCCCCTCCAAGACGCAAGTGAAGGAGCCTGAAACCCAAAGCCAAAGCACTGGCCGCTGGCACTGGGGAGGATGACTTCTGTGGCCTCGGCAACTTCTTAAGCGCACAAGTCTTTCGTGGCCTGCTTCCCATAGAAAGCTGGGGCCTTTTCGCCCTGTAGTCCGGCAGCAGACGGTACTACTCACACATACAAGATCACGTACATTTCTGCAGCCATATGTCATGACTCATGAAGAGCTGGCGTTTTGGTGGATGCCTCCAACAACGACAGCCGTTCCGAGCAAAGTGAAGCCATTACTCCTGTGGCTACTACTACTGCTACTACTACTCCTCCTACTACTACTACTACTACTACTGCTACTACTACTCCTGCTACTACTACTACTACTCCTCCTCCTCCTCCTCCTCCTCCTGCTGCTGCTGCTGCTGCTGCGGCTACTGCTACTACTACGACTACTAGGACTACTACGACGACTACGACGACGACGACTACTACTGCTACTTGTCCTGCAGTACCGTTGCTGGTGCTGTGCCTGTCGCCGCCACTGATGCCAACTCCGTCGCACCCACTGCCATCCCGATCACCATGACTAGCCCTCTTTAATGCGAACAGCAAAAGTCAAGATTGCTGCTGCTTGTCACCCCTACTACACTAGCGGCTTTTGGCTAGCGGTCGATATTGTCACTATTGCCTTTAATTTGTGCCACAGCGGCGGATTCGGTGAAGCCTTCGCCTTCCGGCGACAGAATCTTCAGCTGCACTCGATCAGCCACTGCCGTCGCCTGCGGAACATAGATGAGACAATATTATTCCTTTGTTTTCCCCGTCGGCAAGTTCCGATCGACTGTCGTCGAGGGAAGCTAGCATCGATGTCTCAAGACGGCTCGAGCCCGCACATGGCAACTTCAACCGCCACCCTTTATATCGAAGTCCTCCGTCTGGTGACAGCCAGCAACGTTGCGAATCGAGAATCGAATCTTTCTCTTCAATCTTGCCGACGAGAAGAAAGCTCAAGACAGAAGAGCGTATTGCCGCTTGATGAGTGGCTGGTGCCGACCATGTTGATGTTGCAGCTGGTGTCTTCAGAAGCTCGTGCTGTTGCTGTCATAGTTTAACAAGTTACCCTGAATGGTGACTGCCAGTGCTCGAGATGTTCTCGATGTTCTTAGTCCCCTTGCTTCAGAATGTCGTTTCGAATTCTGAATCAGTAGTGATAGGGCTTATTTAATCGATCTTCTCGCTAGAGTTGTGGTTCAGAGTTGCACACATTGGTACGGTGTTGTTCTTCTTTTTGTTTCATGCAGCTGCTCTCTCCTCCTCCTTCTCCTTCTCCTCCTCCTTCTTTCTACGATGCCACCGACGACTCAATCGGGGCCTCACCCTCGGCTCGCATCGCTGTGCGGCCACGGATGGTGGGCACAGACCGAGTCGAGACGAAGCCCTGCAAAGCTGACCAAGCAATCTTGCGTTCAGGCAGTTAAGGTCGAGGAGGGGCTGGGAACCACAATGCATCTGAGAATGACCCCACGAAATCCGGTTTCGGGTATTTGGCGTAGGGACGTGCAAGAGTGCAACAGAGATCTGTGAAAATCCGGCACTCAAACTGTCAGAAAAGAGCTGAACCCGAAAATTCTTGCGAAAGAACGCTTTGAAAGCCTGTGAGTACGATCCCTCATGGCTTGCTTTCTTGCGCACGATGCCGCGCACCTTTACAAACCCAATGGGGCAGAAACTAGACCCAGCAAAGCCAAGGCCAAAAGAAAGGCACAAGCCATGCTGAATGATTGACAAGAGAATCGCCGTGTAGTCCCTGCAAAATTTGGCTATAAAACCCGGATATGAGTTCCCCCTAGCTGACCCCAAACATGCAGTCCAACTGCTGGTATCCGGGCCTGGCCCAAACGCTGCACAAGGAACACCCCTGCCACCGCGGCAAAAATGCCACCAAAGCGAGCCATTGCTGGAGAAATGCGGGGCAGAGAGCCGAGGGGGGTTCCGGTGGCAGCCAGAGCCTCAAGAAAAAAATTGCGAATGGCAGATCTGATCCGCTTCGTGTCACCTGTCGAACCTCACAGAGCCTTCGAGCTCTCCAGCCGCTGAACGGGTGCAAGACCAAACCTAAGGGTTTAGGGTTTAAGGGAATTAAGGAAAATAAATATAAATAAACAAACATATATATATATATAAACATATACACATGCACACACCCTAAATCGTAATATGAAGGCCCCTATAATTTAAGGTTTATATTCCTGTAATTAAGGGCTCTTGGGTTCTAGCCCGAGACGTCGGAAAGCCTGAGGCCCTCGAAACCTGGCTAACACCAGGAAGCCAGGAGGGGGGGGCACCAGTAGTCGCCAGCCTCGGGGGACCGCTTTTCGAGAACGGCCCAACGTGTGTTCGGCTTTCGGGAGATGTTGGGGGTTTAGGGTTTAGGGTTGAGGATCCCTAAAGCCAAAACTCTTGAGGTTATAATAACGGCTCTTGGGATTGGAGTGTTCTTCTTGAGCTTCTTCAGGCTTGAACCCTCCACTCTGTGGGGCTTAAGCCCGATTGTTGGGGATGCGAGCTGAAGACCTTTGTGTAGAGGATTTGGGGTTGAGGGTGGAGTTCAACGCTGCAGGGTCTGAGTTCTATCTTCGAGTTCCTTGCACCCAAAACCCACACCGGATCCTGTTTCGAGCATGAGTCGCAGAACCCTTCCACCTGCAAGAGCCCTCCATGTCATTTAAGCAGGCTGCTGCGTGGCGTCCATGATCTTCGTACTCGGCGAGGAAAAGCCGCGTGACAACCTCGAAGTCTTTCTACATTGGCTATATGAATGTGTCCTCATCCATCTGTCCCTCTCTCTTCGATTACACCGGCTTCGCCTTCTTAGGCTTGGCAGGTACATGGACGGGTGGGAAGTTTGTTGCTCAGTCAGCGGGTCGGGGAAGAATGCTTGGGTCTGGCTGTATGGGTGTAGCAGCGCTTACAACAAAGATGCCACGACAACTAATTAAACAATGCCCAGACAACAAACACAACAAACGTGCCAAGGCCCAGAACCACAACCACGACAAAAAAGAACTTCTTGCCACAGCGAACGCACGGCAAAAGGCATTTCCAGCTTCACCGTCTGGCCTTCTTGAACTCCCGCATGTACTGGGTGCGGGTGTTAGTCGGCAGTCGTGGCATGGCGCTAGTTACTTGCCTCTGACAGCGGAACCGTCGACTTCTAGTTCCGCTGTGGATTGCACGGCTCTGCTCCTCCTGTTCCTCCTCCTGCTACCGCCGCAATAATCGCCTATAAGATCCCGAGACCCCTAGTTTTATAAGGCCGTCAACACAATTGAGAAGACTCGACGCTCGGTGCTGCTGTGCGGCACCCGGCCCGGGTAGCGAGTACCTATCCGGCTGGTAGATGGGCACCTTGGTCATACTCTTGGGGCGGCGGGGGGAGAGGAGCGCAACAGCAGAAGCTCCGATTCCGGAAACTTCTGGGCTTCACTTGAGGACTAGGTGGCTCAGGGACACGGCGGTGGGTCCATGTTTCTTCGAACTGAGAGTACCGTATTGAGGGAGTTTTGGTGTTGATGCGCTCCAGGTCCGACTTTTTTCTGGCCTACCATGTCCAACCCGTGCACGAGACACGGCCACTGTAGTCCTCCTGGCCCGCCCCACTCCAGCACAATTCTCCGAAGCCTTTGCCTTACAATACATCTTTAACCGTAAGGGTCCGAGGCCTATTGTTTGAGCCCAGCACCTGTCAACCATCACAGAACCGAATAGTGCCGCAATGCCACACGGATCAGCGGGGAGTAGAAGTGCTCAATAGTGGAAGGCTCAGATCCCACCTGTGCGAGAACTCCATCGGCTTTGTTGAAGGAAGAACCTACATAAAAATTCCCACCAATAACTGGATAAAAAGAAGTGTCATCATCCCTGGGATGGAACGACTTTCGCATTTCCACACCGATCAGCGACGGGCTCGGCCTCCCACTCTCGAGGCAAATATCCAAGCTCCACCTCCTTGCAAAACAACTCGCGAGCAAATGTGTGCATTTTAAAACGAATCCTTGGTCTGCAACACCTTCAAACCGAAACCGGAAACATGTTTTGACTTCAACCCGGGCAAAAGATCCTGAAGCCTCAATCCGCTCTGCGCTGCTTTGCTGGCAAAAGTCCTGGATCATGTCTGTTTCGCCCGCGACGTGAGTCGGCTGCAAGAACGCAGCTTTCAGAGAAATCTCGTTCCAAGCGGCGTTCCACTCCTGGAGACACGGCCCTGCACATGGTAAAACCTACGTCCCCATTTATGGCTTACTTGAGCTGGTATCTTAAATCAAGTTCCTCCACGGGGAGCGCCGAACGGAAGCAGAGCAGGACAGCAAGGTCTCACGAAACCACTCCCCAAACCGATCGAAATCGAGGCCATGCATTCCCGCCTGTTTCACGCCTATTCTGTGCGTCTGAAACTCCAGGCAAGAATCGGACCTTTGGCCAAAACAAGTGCGAGGATGGAGATGGAGCACCACGGGAATCTGCGCTTGCGACATACGCGAACTGTAGCGATGCGCACGAAAGACGGAGGCAATGATATACTTTCAGCGATTAGACTGGTTCAACTCTCTTGCTCGCGTGAAAATGGTTAGGAAACCTGGCGAAAAAGCTGGGCCGCAGACCAATTCTTGCCGTGCTGGAAATCCTGCAAGGCACAGAGAAACACGGATTGTCTGCGGATTGTGTTCGGACAAGGATATCCAAGATTCGCTCGCGCAAACACAGGGATGGCCCAAAACTCAAACCCTGCGCCCCTCTGAACCCGAAAAACCACCCCTTAATCCCGAACCCTGGCGCTTTTCTCTCCGGGCTCCTGCGGCTCCTCGCCACCGAAATGCTGCAGTCGGGCGTCGCATTGGGCCACCCTCGGGGAGCCACTTGCCACTAGAACCGGTCAATCGGCTGAAACGAAGTGTATCTGTAAGTATGCATGCAACTTGGCATGCGTTTATGGTATGTATGCAGGTATGCGCGCATGCGTGTAGTGGTGTGTCTATGTGCCGATGTACACTCTTTTGTGTGCATGCAGACTGGCACATGCAGACACACGCACACACATGGATGTGTATATATATACATATATATATATATTTATGTATGTATGTATGTATGTATTTATGCGTGTGTATACATGTATGACTCTTATACACATATAACCAATTGATACCAACCGCCTGCCCCTAGACATATATGCGAGCGCAAAATGATTAGAAATTCTGTGTGTGTGTGTGTGGGTATACGTATTTATTCGTTTATTCCGTCATACATTCATTCATCTGTTTGTTTGCTTGTTTATTTACTTAATCACATACTTGAATACTTACTTACATCTGCTTGTAAAACAAGATGTGCATCTATACTCACTAAAGATGAACATAAACATGAATATAATCATATGAGGGTTGGCGTGCATGTACGTATGCAGGTATGTCTGCATGCATGCTGAAATAAGTAAATATATACATATGCATATATATATATATGTATGTCTGTATGTGTATATATATATACATATTATGCATATATATATATGTGTGTGTGTATGTATGTATGTATGTATGTATGTATGTATGTGACTATGTGTGTGTGTATATATATATATACGTGTTAATCCATCTGCCACCGACCTATACACGGACAAACTACCTGCCTAGCTCACTACCTACCTACTACCTACCTACCTACCTACCTACCTACCTACGTGCGTGCATGCGCCAGCACTTACGCTCGTAAGCCTGTTGTTGATTATTCATTTGCATTTGTCTGTCTATCAGCTTGTTGCTGTTGTTGCTGCTGTTGTCGTTTATGCATTCTCGCCAAGAACTACCTGTGAACTTTCACAAGGTCAAGTTGCTCTGCCCGGTCCGGTGCCTCTTATCTCACGCAGATCTTTCTGGATTGCCAGGAACACTTGTGCAACCTTGGCCCCTTCGAAAGAAGATTTCGTCAGCTATAATTATCACGCAGCTGTGCATCTGGGTTGTTGATGCCGAGGCCCAAGCTCCATCTTGTATGACAGAGAACCTCAGGAAGGAAACTCCAAGTCAGATCAAAAGCGGAGTCAACCCCACGGACGGCGAAACATCTTTGCTGTATGCGGGCTTCAGTTACCTGACTTGAGAACCGGACATTCGTAGGAATTCCAAATGACGCCAGCCTGTTGTCATCATGCTTCTTGCTTACCTTGATTACTGTAACGACCTGGAAAACATGCATGAAACTTCCTCGCCTGGCGGTACCGATCTGCGGGACAGAAAAACAATCGAGGAAGTCGCACCTCGGAGGTCGGAGACACATCACGTTGCTCTTCACCCCTCAACGCTGCACACCCAATCCTACTCTATGACCTCG